TTATTTCACTTTGGCCCCGGTCACACGGCGGATTATCCGGGCACGATCACACCCCAACATCTGCGAAGTGGAGCGCACCCGTGGCTTACCGCCGACAATGCGCGTTAAAAAACTAGTACCTCCAAGGTAAACGTTTGCCACGGGCTGCCTCCAGACGCCCATCGTGTGATCGCGCTAGCGCGCGGCATTCCCCTCCGGTCCCTCGTTTACCTGCCGGCGCCGAGGGAAGGACTGGTGGTGTGCCGCCAGCGTGTCTGATCGTGTAATCGCAGATCAAACTGCACCGGGGCAATTAGCCACGCCTCCCCCCAGCAATATCCGGCCCTTGTGACCGGGGCCTTTGTTCTCCTTTTTTTAACACTGTATGTTCAAAGTGGTATTAGTTATTTCTATTATTTTATTCGCTGTTGCTTGTTTAAAACTTTTTTAAAAAATCAAAAATAAAGATTAAAAAAAAGGGCATAGAGGTTGAGGGCTTCCCCCTGATATTGCCTTCTGGTACTTGTATTCAGAGGTTTATTGCCTCTGAATGTGGAGGTTCTCTTAAGCCATCATGGCTAGTAACCATTGATAGACCCTTTCCTCCACAAATCTGTCTAATCCCCTTTTAAAGTCATCTGTGCTTTAGTTTCACCCAGGCGATCTTCCTCTGCCACACCGCTAGAACCAACACTCTGAACAAGGCAAGGGGTAGAGAGAGGAAGGGAACAGGGCTGCAGAGGGCTGCAAGTAGACCTGTGGAGTGATTTCATATACAGTGAACACAAGGTCTGAAGACAACTGGATGAGGTTGTAATGCTAATAAGGTCTATTATATGTAATTTAAATGTAAAAAGGGTACAGAAGTTGAAGGAAAACAAAACATGTGCTCTTTAGTACCAAGTCACTGTATATGAAATCATCTTCATGGAAAAGCAAATTTATGACATCATCATTCAGCCACTGGCCATCACGTAACACTGCCGAGCAATGCTTTACAAATCAGAATACAGTCCTAATTATGGTTAATGAAAAGCAAATCTGGTTGATACGACTTTCTCTCTAGATGCAGCCCAATGTTAGCATATTTACTCAGAGTAAATCTCAGTCCCACATGAGTATGCAGAGGAAGTAAGGCTTCTTGGACACAGCGGGGATTACTACCAACTAAACATATATGCAAATATGTTTAGGATTGCAACTTTAATCCTTCCCTTGTTATAAACTGTTACAGGTCTATTACCCACTCCCACTCTACTCTTTCTGCATTAATTACTTTACGAGCTGGAGGCCCACAAGGAACCAGGGATAACAACTGGGAAATTCTGCTTTAGAAGTTGGAGGCCCACAAGGAAGAGAGCGAAAAATGAGAATTCTGCTTTGGAAGCTGGAGGTCCACAAGGCAGAGGAGATAACTGGGAAAAGCTGCTTATTTATTTATTCATTCATTCGATTTATAGCCCTCCCTCCCTGCTGAAGCAGGCTCAGGGTGGCTTACTAGCACTATACAGTGAACACTGAACTCTGGCTTTCTGTGAATAGCTTCCTACTTGCCGTGTCTTGGCCCTCATCAGTTTAGCACAATTGGCCTATAGCAATGAATGCTGAAGTTTGTGGCTAGGTGAATAGGAAGCTATTTATTTAGCTACAATACTGAATGTAGTGCAGGAAAGGGGATACTATTATCAACCCCCCTTTATGTTACATGGGCAGGTTGTGGCAAAACACTGGAATTCAGAGATGCACGCATCACAGCACCCATTCCCATTCTATTTTCTCTCACACTTACACATACAACATTCCAAGTTGTTTATTGACCATTTTCTGCAGCTTAAAGAGAGTGGGGAAGGGCAATTAATTGGGACTGCAGAAACTGCTTTTCCAGGACCCTGGGATGTATTTAGCTTCAATGGCCCTTAGAAGAATCAGAACAAAGCTCTTTGTTGGTCTTAAAGGTGCCACTGGACTAGAACTTTGTTCTGCTACTTTAGACCAACATGTTTACCCACCTGAATCTACCTTAGAAGTATGTACTACTACTAGGTAAGGATGTGGACAGGATATACATATCTTATCATCCTACCACCCCCTAGGTTTGCTAAAAGCCTAGAGGGAAAATGTCCTGTCCCTTTCATAAAGGCTATATGGGATATTGTGTACCAAATGATGTTATTTACCTCCATGCCATCAAAAACTTCAGCTGCCCATTTCTACACATTACACCTCTACTAAAGGGGCACAGTGTTCCCCCCCCCAACCTTATCCCCTCCTGTATAAACTCTTAGACTCAACTCATCTTGATCAAGCTAATCCTTCTATTCAATTTTCCTTTTACAAGGAAGAGTCAAGAGGAAGAGACAGGTTTGGGACTTGCTTTGGGACTGTTCCCATCCCTGGTGCTGGCAAACAGTAAGAAGGGGCAGGAAAGGGGAGGAGTGTTTCAACACAGATGCCTCTGTTTGGGCTTCACTGCATTGCTGCAGAGCAGATGACCTCTCCTTTCCCCTGCCTCAAAATCCTCATCCAACACTGACTTCTGCTCCATCCCTCATACTTTGTTCAAGGTTTTAGATTTTTTTTCTTTTAAAAAAAGCCATTCTGAGCCAGTGTGTTGGGTTTTTCCTGTTTGAAACGATGTGAGTAGGGGAGATGAGCAAAGAACTGTGGAAATAATGAAGCAGACAAAATATAATCCCATAGCACTTCTGAAAACAGAAAACCTTTTATTAGTACCATCCAAAATGACACAATCAGTGTGTAAACCTGCCCTTCCCCACTCTCCAGAATTCTTCATCAAGCTTAAGATCATGTTCCAAGCCTGTTGAAGTGTTCTAGAGATTTTATTTAATTCTGTGTTTTAGTTGTTTTAACATATTGTGTGTAAGCTGCCCTGAGCCTGCCTTGGCAGGAAGGGCGAGATACAAGTCAAATCAAATAAATAAATAAAAGCTTCAGCACTTTGTGTCATTTTGCTAGAGAGACTGGTTGGAGTGGCCATCATTTCTACAGAACACAAAAGAGATTTCTCTCAATTTATTACCCAATTTACAAAAGCAAAAACATGTAAAGTGAAGTTCAACATGTTTACACAGATTCATGTTCTAGTGCAAACTCTAAAAAGTTTTTAAAAACTTGATTGGGTGCCTCTTCTTATTTTTAGCTTGTTCATTTCAAACACCAAGGAAATAGGGGGGGGGGGGGGGGAGTTCATTCTATACTTTTAAAAAACTATTGAAGGGGTGTGGGTGCATGGCCAAGGCATAGTCTCCTACAGCATCAACAATCTTTCAGCCAGCATTGCACAGTGATGAACATGATAGCTGAAATATGAGTTTTACAAGTCTTTCAGTCCACACCAGTCATTTTGCTAAGTAGAACCTGAACAGAAAAGAAGTCCCAAAGATGGGAGGAGGTTACAAAGTTGCATTCCCATAACCAGATACTTCAGAATCAACTCTGCTTTACTCCGTGTGATTTACTTCTAATTAAATACACTTAACAGCACAATGCAATGTTATTATAGTGCAAACAGCCAGTGATTTAAACGAGCTTAGACTGCAGTAACAACCAGTGTTCCCTCTAAGATGAGTTAGTGTGAGGTAGCTCACAGTTCTTTAGCCTCTGGCTCACATATTTTTGTCTTAGCTCAGGAAGGATAGCTCCAGAGCAAACTGATTTAGGCAGTAGCCAAATCGCTCGCTCACAACTTTAATGCCAGTAGCTCACAAAGGTCCCGTCCACACGAGGGGATTTGGGCCAGTTGCGGGACAGTTCGGGGGCGGATCAAAGCAGCGCGATCACACCACAACATCTGGGAAGTGTCCTGCTTCCGTACCCGAACTGGCCCTTTCCCTGGAAAAGCCATCGCAAGTTGAACCACCTACCTTGGTGGTTCAAATGGAAACGGTGCCTCTAGCCGGGCGTTTGATCGCCGGCGCGTCCTTGCGCCGGCACAACCCCGGGCCGGAGCCAAACTGCGCATGTTCCGACATGCCGGCTCCAGGTTAGGGCCGTGTTTTCTCCCGGCTTGATCGCGCCGGGGAGAAAAGGCGCCGCAGCCAGGAGATCCGTGGGATCCCGCCGCGGTGTCTCAACGTTGGCGTGGCAAAGCCGCGCCTTAAGAGGCTTTTCCCCTGCCGTGTGGCAGGGGCCAAAGTAGAATTTTTGCTCACAAGACTCCACAGCTTAGAGGGAACATTGGTAACAACAGGTATAACACACGATTTCCTACTAACAAAACCAGAGAAGGGAGGAACACTTAAAACTTAGCCTGTAAAAGCACAGGCCTGTTTCCTCGCCCGTCCCGAGCGCGCTTCCTCTACCCGATCTCTCACACACACACAGAGAGAGAGAGCGCCCTCCCCCCTGCCCGTTCTTGCCAACGGTAGAACCCCTGGCGTCCCTCCCCCGCCTCTCATTAGCATGCCCCGCCCCTTCTCCTCCTGGCCCCGCCCACTGCGTGATTGGTCCAGTCCGCTACTTCCTTGTCAAGCGGGGGCCTCCCCTTTGCTTTTCTACTCTCCACATCCTCCGAGCGGCTCCAGTTCCGCGCTGCCTGTTCCAGGGAGTCGCCGTGTGTCTGTCCGCGCGGGGAGAGCGGCGGCGGCGGCGGCGGCGGCAACGGCTTGGCTGAAGGAGGGGAGGGCGTTGAAGCGCAGACGGGCTTCCCTATGAGCCGGCGTCGGTGGCGATAGCGGCGCCCCCCCC